GGGGGGCGATTGAGAGGGAGAGGGGGATTCACACAAATAATAATAAATAAAGAACAGGAGTGCATAGTGTGGCATCCAGACAAATATTTGTAGTAATGTAAAGCTGAATGAAAATCCAGAATCTCATTTCCACATGTATACTTGTGTGTGAATGTGTTTACTTCAGCAAATCTATTCACAGCTTTGTGCATCCCTGTGTGTGTGTGTGTGTGTGTCCTTGGCCCCAACATGTCTGTGCACATGTATGGCATCTGGCCCAGTAGGTCATTAACCCTGTAAAGTCCAACACATCAAAAAATAGCCAGAACATTCTATTTTTTGGAACTGAGATGTTTATTAAACCTTTAAACAAAATCCAAAATATAATTCATCATTTGAAATTCTAGATTCACGATTTTTATTTGCCATATATGCATAGACAGACAGTCCAGGCATATAGGAATAGAGGTGCCATATTATTTAGATTATTTCTATTTCTTCTGTATCAAATTTTATACATGGGGCATTTTTGGCGATTTATTTTTGCTCAGAAACCTCAAGTATCAAATATGATACAAATGGTTATATAGGGTTAAAACACATAATCCCCCCGATGACTGGCCCTCTTTCTTTGCTATCAGTGAACTAAACCTTCTTGATATAATGGCAACATTTGGTACCAGCATTGTGGGATTTTGCTGTTAGATTAGAGTGAATCAGCAAAAGCCAGGGAGGAGGTTATATTGTTGATATAATAAGGTCTCTGATGTATGTCATGATGGAGATGGGCAGCAGTTTTTTAATGTAATGCATCCAATGTTCCCTTGCAACTTCCCAATGTGTAACATAAAATGCAGGTTTTCATAGTGTTTAGGAAACATTTAGTAAAGCACTATAAAATGAGCATTAATTTTAGATCCTTACTTGGACTTTAGAGTTTGAACATAGCATGTCAGAATATTGGCTGTAAACAAGAACCAAACAAAGAGTCTAAACAGGTTTGTACAGTCAGTGGGCAGGTTTGCAGGGGATTATTTGCCAGGAATTGTGTTTGTTTTTCCTTTGGCCTTTCTTTACAGAATGATTCATGGCACACCAGGTTACACAGTCTGTGCCTCATTACCAGAGAGGATATACATATTTGCACAGAGAACAGCCATAATGATATACAATCCAAAACATCTGAACTGTAAATACGACAACAGCAAGTGTAGAGAAGCATTTGGGATGTGTGTTTTACATTTTTAATCAACCTTAGCCCCAGATTTGAGCATTTTTCAACACTTGGAATATCTAGGTCTAATATCTAGAGCCTGCATGAATATTCATGTGTCACTAAGAATTCCAAAGCAACTGCTGCCCTTCCACACATTTCCATAAACCACCTGAAATGATAAGCTACTGCTGTCTACTGTATAGGGAATTAGACACAGCACTAGAGCCAGGAGCGCACTGGAAACAATACAAAATGTATAGAAATGTATGTGTTAGCATTGATAAAGATTAATACTACCACCATATTTGCCACTCTACAGAATACTGACGCGCACACTGTAGCAATATCATGTTTACCTCTGCATTCTAACCAGCCTGTGTATTTTCTTCTAGCCAACCCCCTGTGTTGCCAGACTACATCCAGGAACAGTACAACCCTCCACCCTTCAACTACTCTGACCCTGCCCTGAAGTACAATACCCACTGCAGCCCCCGGATCTTAGACAACATCACAATCACACCCAGATATCGCCTCAGATAGCACATACTAAAACCATAAGCATACTGTATTGTAAATGGAAATCATTCACATAGACACTGAAAAGCACACATAGAAATGCACAGGCTTACAAACACAATGCAAAGCACATTTGGAGCCACTATACTGTATGTTTTATATGGACAAGATGAATTACTCTTATTTATATAGTAACATACAAGTAATTATACCTGAGTGACTTTTAAAGTCCTTTATTTGGAACCCTCTTCACTGAGCGATGGACCTGCCAAGTGTGAGCTAGAAGTTTTTTCACCTTAACAACAGTTTTCGGTTAGAGTCTGACCCTGCAGAATCTGACAATTTCTTGGCTGGACTTGTTGATGAAAAGTGAACCACTGCAGTTATCTTTAGCTTCCAGCTGACACCAGGTCAACAGCCTCCTTGATAACAACATTAGCATTTGCCAGAATACCTGGTGTCAGGCCCCTGCCCTCTGTTCACAGTTATAGTCATTATCAAGGTTGTTATGATTCCTATCTACAGTGTACATCAGTACCTCCATATGTGGAAAATCAGCATCACACATAAACAACTAAACATAGTAGATTCCATTTATGTAAGTGTTACTGTTTTGCAAACAATTTATCCAATACATTTGTTTTCAACAACCATCTCACATTGGAATTACACTAAATTATTATTCATTGTAGCAGAGTAATTCAGTGTTTCAACTGGCAGCTGTCTTTTGTAAAGCTAGATGTGTAAATATAATTTAAATCATTAAAAGCTGCTTTAGCAGCATTGTGCGGTGTTGACAATATTTCAAGAGGATACACATAACTGAAACAATCATGTTGCTTTACTGATGTTAGGAACAGAATGGCCTTGTAGCTATAGATACAGTATAATCCTTTAACAAAAAAGATACAGGTTTAACCTCTGTAAAGTGTCCTTGAGTGAGCCAGCCAATCAACTCTAGAGATCTTCTCTACATCTGACCATAACCTATGACTTTCCATTGAAGAGCAAAATAAAAATCATATCTTCCTACAAGCTGATCCATGTCAAGGTGATGCTGCCAACAGCTGATAGTTTGTATAAAGAGCTTTTATAAATGATCATGCTGAGAAGAATGATGTCACTTCCCCTTGATGTTATTATTGGCAGGGTGGATAAGTATCTCACATTCTGACAGCAAGGCCCCTGCGGACACCTCTGCTACTACTATATTAAAACCTTTGTTTTCCATTGACTGCATAAACCACATTATGGCCTACAAATGATTACAGACTCATTTAAGGTTATGCACCACTAAGTACAATATAAACTAACTATTCAGAGTGTTGTTGCATTATTGAGATGTTATCATTGGTGCATTAACTTATAAACTGCATTTTAATGTTGTGGTTGGGCTACTTGTAATTACTTTATATGCAGTTGCATAGTTTAATGTTTAAGAATGCATTCTGTTACATGTGTGATTCTATGTTTTGTATTTTTTGCACCTGCAAAAAATAGTAACTGTTGTTGTAGTAGAAATATAAAGTAGAATAAAATGTGAATACTAAATTCAAGTGTGGCTTTGTCAAAACTGCACTGAAGTACAGCACTTGACTGAATGTACTCAGTTATTTTCCACCACTGCAGCAACAGTAATTAGCATTCTTCTTAGCACATCATTCCAGTTTTTACCAGTGACCTGCAATTTCTCCTCCAGCCACCAGGTGTCAAAGCTGAGTCTTCAACACAGGACAGATAAATCATATTTGTTTATCATTAAGGCTTAAACAAAAAAGCAAGACTTTCACAGCCACACACACATACGCAGACGACTAGACACCTGTTCTGCAGTCTTCATCTGTGAAGTTGCCACAGCTTACAGTGAAGCCCCCTGCCCCCCTGCAGAATGAGATCATCAGAGAGGGGCGTGGAGCAAGGCAGCCCTGCAGGTCCCTGCCACTGCAGAGACAGGCCTGGCCTAAGTTACATCCAGGGTCAAGGATGGGGCACTGCTAAAACACTCTGCTCCTGTCACTTCTTTATTGTGGTTACACACTCATGCACACACCTAACCCTACAAAACATCTACAGCAGTTCTTGATTCCTATAGTTTCAGTTTGTGCGGGACTGATTGAGTGAATAAACTGAGATTATGCCACAACATTACATACAGGATTTGGAGATGAAAGAATGCAATTCCTCAGCAAATAGAGCTCCTGACACCTGTGATAGACAAAGGCACAGCTCAGAGTGAATAGCAGCCAGTGAGGAGGCGATTGACTTGGCATATAGAACTTTGTTGTGTCACACTTCTGGAAGGTTCCAAGTAGCACTGTTTCATGTGATGCTGAAGGCTGCAGTGTTTGAACTCCAGCTCCACACTGACTGCAGCAGACAACCTGGAGGCAGGCCAGAGAAGGGAGGAGGCATAGAAAGAGTCATAGAAAGAAGACAAGAGGGAAATGAAAGGTGAGAGAGGAGATGAACAGCAGGGATTCTGTTTGACAGCGAGTGTGTAGTTTTATCCCCTCAGTTCTATAAAACAACTGACATGTGCAGGGTTAGAAGCAGTTGATAACCCAGAGCCAGGCCCAACAAACAACAACACATTAGGGGGCTAGAAATTTTAGTGCATGCTTAAAAGATATCATTTCATCACAACATGATTGAAATAGACAGGGAATAGCAGGCCTCACCAAATTGTCTTGTCCAATTTGAGGCCATTAATCATTCCTGCCTTGTGATGTAATTTTGGAAAACAAGTCATTTCCCAGTAACAGGTAGGCCAGCATGCCCATAGGATTGCCTCGTGATCATGGCTAGCCAATAGTTGGACCTTATATGGCTAATGCTCTTATTGCATGACTGTAAAACCATTCACACTAATTGGGAGTGGTTTGCTGTGGACTGTCAGCTTTGTCCACTGACTAGGCCAGTTCTTCGGCCTCTGTACACTGGAAAGTATTACTGGTAATCAAGAACTCTCAGAAGCCAGTCAGATGAAGCCAAAATTGCCTGTAGGTCATAAAAATACATGAACACATCCCTTCCCTATTGTATTTACCATCAGTGCATAGGGGCATATCTACTGTATACACACACATGTGTGGATGATCAAACACACACTTAAGAGCAAAAGATGCAGGCCTACATGTGCACATGTGACATACTCACTCACATCATGTAAAGGTCTTCTTACTAATAGCTTGACAACCATGACACACTGTCATTGTCTGCCATGTACCAGAGTCAAATTGATCGTGTGTCCAACACACCTGGCCAATAAAGCTGATTCTGATTCTGATGTAAGGTGATCCATTCCCTTGGCTTACAAACAGCAGGTGCATTACAAATCCTCATTCATTAATAATGGCCTCTACGTCTTTGTGTTACACAGGTAAACAGCTTCTCATATTTGTCACCAGTTTTTATCCCTCAAAGTCCTCAGGGGCCACTTCAGTACAAAAATTCATCTCTTTATGCTTTTTTCTTGAAAGCTGCTTCATTTTAGAATGCCTCAACACCTTCTACACCCACTTTGAGACCTCCAGCCACATCACAGAGAGGAGGCACACACACACACACAAAG